AGTAGCTACTTGGGAACATTGCAGCGGGAGAGGAAAAAATGGTTTCATGAAATCCATATAAATATGATTGGCAACCAACAATAAGCACTCTGTATCTTTTTCGATAAAGGTTATTTTATTGACTCATAATATAGCATCGAGGCATACAATTACAATGAGACACACCGGTCTCTGCATAAGCAGGATGCACACAACCAACACACACACCCCATAGGATCAAGCCGGCAAAGAGCTAAGTCATACTAAGACCGAAACTATGCATAAGTAAAGAGAAAAAGAAAGAGAAAAAAGTCATGAAGCAATACAAACGGTGATAGACGGTGTACAACAATAACCATCGGCACCAACTATCTCATGAGAACACAAGGGCCACGAAGAAGGTTCTTCAAAAGCGACGCCTTCAAGAAGAAAACGACCCATAAGTGACGTCGTCGCGGATCCAACGCCTACATGGGGGGTTGGGATCTGGGGCATCTCTGCCCTATGTTCTGCCTTCGACACGAGGTATCCATGATTCGATTGCATCCTTTCCATTCGCTAGTCTGATCAATCAGGAGCATCGTGTGTCGCACCCACATTATCACCATGTCCAGACGCTGTCCTTTGATTTTCCTCATTTCGATGGTGACAATCCTAAGTTCTGGCAAGCTAGGTGTGAGGACTACTTTGCTATGTTCGATACTATCCCTGCGTTGTGGATCGAGGTGGCCGTGATGCAGTTTGAAGGGTCAGCAGTGCGCAGGCTTTCATCCATGCAACATAAGTTTGCGCATGCGTCCTGGAAGTAATTTAGTGTTGTAGTAGTGCAAAGGTTTGGGTGTAATCAGCACCAAACCTTAGTGCGGCGTCTCTATCGCTTGTGCCAGACAGATTCTGTTTAGGAGTATGTCGTACTAGAGTTCTCTGCATTGTTGATGGATCAACTAGTTGCTTATGAACCTAATCCTAACATGATGCACTATACTACTCATTTCATAGATGGTTTAAAACCTGCAATTTGTGTTATTATCGTTGTTAAGCGTGCTCCCGACCTTGATACTATGTATTGCATTGCTGCTACGCAGGAAGAAGTGGGAGAGGGAGAAACGGAGCTCAATTCTTCTAGTTACAATCGGTGCCTGGTTTCTTCTGGATTGAGCCCTCAGTACAAAACTAAATCCTCTGTTGAAGCCCGTGAAGTGGCCTCAAAGCCGTCTCAGTCTGAAGATATATTTGCCACACGGAAAGCATATCACCAAGCTAAAGGTCTCTATTATGTAAGTGGTGAGCGTTAGGACCATGATCACAAGTGCAACACCATAGTCCAATTGCATGTGGTGCAAGAGATGCTTAAATTTTGTGATAGTGCATCCCCGGATTCAAAGGACAGTGACGATGACTTGATGGTCTTATCTACAGAATGACAGATTGATACATCTGAACCAAGTGCTATCAGATTGACATGTCAGCTACAGGGGCAGTGGCTCGTTTTCTTCTTGGACTCCAGAAGTTCCCATTCTTTTCTCAGTGACAAGGTCGCATCAAAGATACCTAGCCACACATTGTTAGCTCGGACACAGTGAGTTCGTATAGCTGGTGGGGCTTCTGAACTGTACTCATATGGTGCCTAATTGATCTTGGTCAGTTGATGGGCACACTTTCCAGTTTGACTTCAAGATCTTGCCCTTGTAATTCTATGATGGAATTATAGGTATGGATTGACTCGCAGCTCGAGGTCCTATGCACTTAACTGGGACCAAAAATGGCTTGTTTTCGATTATTCAGGGCAACGGATTGTTCTGCATGGCCATCCTCCGGCTGAATTTGATCACACCGTGGTTGAATTACAATTAGTTCAAGGTCAACCTGCCACAGAAGTCCCTAATGAAATTTAAGTGTTGCTGGATCAGTTCTCTAAAGTCTTTACTACTCCTACCCAGCTTCCACCTCACAGAGCTTGTGATCACAAGATTCCTCTGGTAGCAAGCGCGCAACCTGTCAATATCAGGCCCTATTGCTATTCTCCTGAACTGAAGACTGAGATTGAGAAACAAATTACTGAAATGTTGCAATCTGATGTTATGAAACCCAACACTAGTCCATTTGCATTGGCAATCATTATGGTCAGGAAGAAAGACGGCTCGTGGCACCTATGTGTGGATTATTGTCACCTAAATCTTTTGACACTCGAGAGCAAATGCCCGTTGCGTGTTATTGCTGAACTTTTGGGTGAACTGGCAGACGCGTCTTGGTTTACCAAACTTGACCTTCACGTCGGTTACCACCAGATTCGATTGGCCCTGGCGAGGAATTTAAGATGGCATTCCATGTTAGAAGTATAATTATGTTTAAGTTAGAGATATGATTGGTTTAAACCATGCATGTATTACCCTCTACTCCAAGTCTCTCTTCCTCACATGTACTCCTATATATACCCTACACAAAATTGTGTTAGATCAATACAACGAATATTGTAGGTTCTATATTTTCTACATGGTATTAGAGCGATTAGTCTCACGACACCGATCCTAGGCCTCTATCACTTCCGCAGCGCGCCGCCCCCGAGGAGATTAATCTCCTCTCCCCGAGGGTGCGGCACCCGATCAATTAAAGATTAAATCGGTCTTGTACTTTAGATCCAATTTCGAGTTCCCTATCGTTAGATCGATTCCATAGATCAATTCTCTGTTAGATTAGTTTTTAATAGCCGCAAATAAATCTGAGGACCCACAAATACGGTGGGAAAAAAGATCAAGTACGACGTTCGCGGCAGAGCACACGCAGCAGGCGCATGCAGGGCCAGGCACTAGAGCAGCCGGCCGATGCATCAGCAGGCGTGAACAGGGGCATCGAGCCCTCCATCGACTCTCTGGCGGCTACGTGCGTAGAACTCGCACGAGACGCTCGCCGCCGGAGCCAGCAGCGCTTCGGGGATCTCCACCGCGTCCAACCTCGACGGATGACACGGCCTCGACGACAAGCAACACACATCAACGCCTCGAACCAGCAGCTTCTCCAGGCGAACGTACGCATGCGTACGGCTGCAGCCGCACCGTACGCCTCGCCGCTGCACCGATTCAAGGCATCCATGCGCAAGCCGCTTCTTCGAGGAACCATCATATATCCACGTGGTAATGCATGTCCTTGTGCGTGCTAATGCACCACACGATCTTGTTTTGACAGCTTCATACTCCCTCCGGTTTTAAATACTTGTCTTCCTAGAGATTTCAACAAGTGACTACATTCTAAAATATGTCTATATACATCCATATGTGATAGCCCAATTTTATAAATATCTAAAAACATAAAAATATTTAGAAATGGATGGAGTAAATGCGGCCGGCATCAAGATCGATACTCCATCAGGGAACCAACATCGGTCACAAGCCGTCCGAGCAAGCTTCATCGTGCACCCGAGG